CTACATGGTTGTTGGCTTTGTTCCTGGAGATATCGAACTTTGGAGTTTCGATAGAGACGTCTCAATTTTGTTCCAAAGCATTGTTGTTGTTGTTTAAGTCATTAAAAATGACTTGGCTTGAGAAATCAAGGCCACCTCTTCTTGAAATTGTGGGCTCTTTATTGGGCTTCAAAAATTGGCCCAATTTTTCAATTTTATTTATATTGGTCACATGCTTCTCATATGCTCCTCTTTACTCTCCTAAACATTGTGACAATTTTTGGATTGATGCCTTCCTCGTATAATGTTGTTGGCAGATCCCTAGAAAAGTGGGATTATGGTACTTCACAATAGTAGGAATAATCTATTATCCTCTCGATAATAGGATTAACTGGGTCCTTGTCTATCGTTTCTTCTCCTGCTACTCTTTAGTCCATTTTTACTTTTCGACTAGATCAAAAGATAGTACTTGATACCATTTCTGGATATCGCCACTTCTTTAGGTATACTCTTCTTGTCGTTGGAAACCAAGATTCTAGCCCGTTTCATGTGGTTCTCAGCTTTGTTTCTTCTTCATTGGCCACCCATCCCCTACATAGGTTTCCAATTGCTTGGAAGAGTGTTTGTCACCATAGATGCGGAGGGATTTCGACAATTTTGAACCAAGTTGTGATGGACATCGTATTATTAGGTACACAACCTACCATTAGGTTCACACCACTCCAGGCTTAAAGTTCAATTCTTCCAACTACACTACAAGGTTTTGCTCAAGCATGTGCTTGTTGGGGAATTCAAAAAGGGTGATACATTTCATAAATTTTCACCTCGAAAGCCTTCTTCTAGAGCATGGTCGACCATCTTCTTATCTTTGTTAGGAATGATTTTTCTTTACTCCTTCCTTCTAGTTGCCCTTCCAGACACCTCTTCAAAACGAGTATCTTAGCTATCTTTTTGAATCTCAACTTGAATGTTTCCCTCCTTGTTTTGATGTCTACATCTCGTGCATTTTTGGACTACCATTTACCATCACGTACAACTCTCGTGTCAGGGTAGTTTGCATCCATAACTCTAGTGGGCCTATTAATTCCATTCTTTTAGGGTAGATAATGAGATTCTTAATCTTAAATGCAAAGTCTAGCCATCCAACATTAATGGCCAACTCTGGGATAACTAGGACAAATCTCCCATATTATTAATAGTTACAATGCTTATAAACCTCCCATGTTCATTGTACTTTCTTGTGCAAAAATGTTGAACCCCTTTCTTTGCATTTTTCACCTTCTGGTCTTCTTATGGTAGCCAGAAGCTTCTCTTAGAATGGCACAAATCCACTCCATAATTTTGTGGCTCATGGCGAATCTCCTCTTCATCTTAAGGCTTCTCTCTACCCAATTCATACCACTCTACATTCTTAAAATTCTATCTTGTAATATCAAACGACTTAAATCCTACACTGAAATAGATAACTCAAGTTAGATAAGAAAAGAAGGTTGGGAACTCCGGCAGAAACCTAGTGGAGAGAAAGACCCCCCCCCCCTCTCCCCAAGGAAGTAGGAGAGAGTGTTTTGGAGAATGTGCCTGAGAGCTTTTTTTATGTGATGAGTTTCCAACTACCTAGATAAGAATGAACTATACATATTTTTAAAACACTTTCTTCCTTAAAACTAGCTCTTTGTTAGAGCTTAAAGTTTCAGCAGACCTTAGAATTTATCTTTCATGCGTATTTCTCCACTAATAACCTATGTTGCGCGGACTCTTCATTTTTGAAGGCGAACCCGTCTCGACGCGACACTGGTGCGGGTGCGGGTGCGGGGTGCGTGTCGGATTCGGTCAATCCGATCCGGACACTTTGACCAAAGCGAGAAAAAAATTTGGGGAAAAAGAGATCAGTTTCCGGCGACCTCTTTAGAGAGGCGGCGGAGCTGTAAGAAGCTTGAAAAAGTAAAAAGAAAGAAGAAAGAGGAGTTTTTTCTTCATTGAAAAAGTAAAGAGAAGAAGAAAGAGGAGGAGTTTTTTCTTGAAAAAGTACAGGAAGTACAGCTTTTTTATTTTTTTGAAAAAGTAAAGTCTTTTCAACTTTTCAACTTTTCTTGAAAAAGAAAACTAAAGGCTAAGGGTTTCTCTAGATAAGTGTGTCCTTTTTTATTTATAAAATAAATTAATACTTTCAATGTTTATTATATTCTCTCTTTTCTTTAACAATTATACTCCTTTTATTTTGTATGTAATTATACCAAAATATGCAATTCATTATTAAATATATTTCATAAATATTTTTAATAATATTTTATTATATATATATATATCCACTTATTTGATTATACTAGATATATTATTATTGTTGTTATTGATATAATTTATTTTTCGAGGTACGCTAAAAATAATAAGCAATTATACCATGTATATATAATATATTACACCTTATATTATATATACCATGTATACCAATTAGCCGTATCCCCGCACCCGTATCCATACTCGGATTCGCACCCCCGAATCTTAAAATTTAAATTTTGCCGAATCCGACTCTCGGATTCGCATCCGTCTCGGATACCCGCACCCGAGTCCGAGCAACTTAGCTAATAACACTAATTATTGAAGCTCAAGAAAAAATTGCTACATTCCATTCACAACACTAGTCGTAATCCACACTCCATTCCCAATGCCTTTCCCCTGTCACCTAGGAAATGAGCATTGATGGAACATAATCAAAACAATCAGATTGAAAAAATGTGTTAGAACTCAACCAAGGACAAAACCTTGTATTTTGGTTGGGAAGAGGGTAGAAGGCAGAATGATAATCCTTGAAGTTTTGAACCAGTGGAGTGGGGCCGAAAGCCAAGTCAAAATTTCTATGGATTAAAAAAAAGTAAAAAAAAAAGAAGGCTAAATACATAAAGGGGCCCCTAAACTTGTTTGATGTTGGCATTTTGACACTTGAACTAGGACTAGTACCTATAGAACACTTCATGTAGCACAAAATCGTTCCTATTAAACAAATTTAAAAAATTCAAACCAGATCTAGTGTGTGAGCTTCACTCTCATTTGAAGTGGCAAACCAAGCTAATTAAAAAAATACAAATTAGTGAAAAAAGAGATACATAAGATATTAGAAACAAAATGGTCAAAACCTGACCCAAAAAATACAAGAACTAAAAGGGTGAGGTGGTGACCAGAGAAGAGATGGCTACAACCAAATCTAGAGAATGAAAAGAAGCTGGTGGTGTTGGTGACAACAGCTAAATCTGAAGAATAAAAAGTAGAAAATGGTAGACAAGAAAATAGAATGGCAGTGGGTTGATGAACAGAACTAAAAAGAAAGAAGGATAGAAGGGCATTTGGTACTGTTGGTACAAGCCAACGCGCCTGCCCATAGGACCAAGGTTTGATCCCAGCTAGAATCCCATTTTATTGTTTTGTCATCAAAAAAAGAACTGAAAAGGAAGAAGGTTGTGGCACCAATTGAATATGAAGACCACACAGGGCAACCCTATGCACAATGCATCTGCTTTAGCAAAGTCCGAGGAAGGGTAGCACCCCAAGGAATGTGATGTAGACAACTTACCATAATGCAAGCATTATTGGCCGCTTTCACGGCTTGAATCCATTTTATTGTTTTGTCATCAAAAAAAGAACTGAAAAGGAAGAAGGTTGTGGCACCAATTGAATATGAAGACCACACAGGGCAACCCTATGCACCATGCATCTGCTTTAGCAAAGTCCAAGGAAGGGTAGCACCCCAAGGAATGTGATGTAGACAACTTACCCTAATGCAAGCATTATTGGCCGCTTTCACGGCTTGAATCCATGACCTATAGGTCAGACCCCTTGAATCTAAAGAAGACTTCTAGTAACAACTCTACATCAGTTGTTCGATCAATATTTGTTAGGGAAACATGAACAATAATGACCTCAATTGCAAGACAAGAATCATCAAGAACTGCCACTTCAACTGGAGCAGAACTCCAGCTGCAAGAAGTCATATATCCTTGGGATATTCCACTCTTGTTAGTGGACAAAATGGGGTAGTGCACACTCTAGAAAATGGTCAAATAGTTGCCACCATTAGTGAGAATATGGGAAGTGCAAGGACTACACAAATCATTCATGATGCAGAGAAACTATTAACAATGACATTGGAGAATTCTTGTGCACCTTCAACAATCTTTTGACCCTAAGATATTTAGCTTGACATTTAACTTCCTTTAGAAAATTCTTGAGATATTAATAGGGTCGTTGATGATCCTTGAAGTATTCTAAATCATGTTTCTTTGAAGTGGAATAAAGGAATTGAAGTGATGGTGTACTAGTTTTTGGTGGTGGATGAAGCTGTGAGGAGGTGGTGGCAGAAGAGAGTTAGAAGGAGAGTTTTTTCTTTTTATTTAAAAAAAGAACTTCATGTGCTCAGCATTTATAGAACAAACAATGTGTCATGTGCCAGGTACAAATCTTGAGTGGTATAGGTGTTCAATAGTTACTAGTCTTAGTTTAAGTATCAAAATGAAAATATTCGACAAGTTTAGGTGTGGCCTCTTAGGTATTTAGCAAAATAGAAATAGGAGAAAAAATTCATTGTTGGAGTCTACTGGATCATGCCTGAACATATGGCAGATTTGCTTAGCTGTTGGATAGGCGAGGAGGAAGCAAGAGCCGGAAAAGATGGTGGAGGACAGTCTCAGCTTGCATCTAGTGGAACATTTGGAAGGAGAGGAACTAGGGGATCTTTGAAGGAAAAGAATGCACTATACAGAAGATTAAGTGGAAAGTTGTTACTTCACTAGGTTTTTGGTGTAAAGAACAAAATATAGAAGAGGAAATCCAACCAGTGGATTTAATAGGATCTTTGTAAGTATCTTTCCTCGTACACCAATTAAAAGTAGCGTTTTTAATATTATTTTCCAAGGCATTGTGGATAATACATTAATTGGCAAATCAAAAGATGGTTCCAAAACAAAAATTGTTACTGAATCCAAATCAAATTTCCATGAATTAAATCAAAACGCCATCAGAACTCCACTCACCTGAGCAGCAAGGCGTGTCCTAACAAGATCCAAAGGGTATGTAACAGAAGCAGCAGTTATTCCAGCCAAACCACCACCTACAAGTCGTATACAAAGGTCTGCAGTTATATTCTCTCCCTGGCTTTCAATTCCCAAAATCAACTGCAACATCTGTTGCATTTAATATGAAGAAAAAGCAAACATTTAGACTGATGAGATACGGAAATTATTGGCACTAATATTTTGAAATACAGAATTCACAGAACGTTTGTACCAACATTCTTGTAGCGTTCAAATGCATAAAAGCTGATAGAGGAATATGGAAGCCGATGAGCAATTGTGACCAAATTACCCTTCCAAAATGCCCTAAATCCTTCTTCACGTACAATACGTGAAGCCTCTTGCCATATACTAGCCTTTTTTAAACTAGCAGCATTCGCGTGCATTCCTTGTAGCTGTTACCGGCCAAAGATACAGAGGAAAATGGGCATAAGCTTCTACAGGTTTCTCTATGTATGACTCCATTACTTACTAATGAATTCAATAAAAATCAAATCGGAAGGATAAAAGATGATAGATGTCTTCTGCATATAACAGCGAAACCAAGTTTCACTTGATATTAGAATAATGAACCTCGAATCTCATCATGTAAAAATTAGAACCTGAAAGAGAATAGTAAGTCTCGCTAGAGGCGCAGTGCATGTCTTGCTGATGGCACCAGCAACACCACCGGCGAGAAGCTGAGGAACCGTTCCGATCTGAGACTGGTGACGGTGCTGAGTAATCAATTTCCGAGATGGTCCGCCGTCCACAACCACTGCTCCACCGGCAGCGCTTCCTCCTCCATCCATCACTACTCCTACCCTGGCTTCAGTCTGCATCGCACTCAAGCTATTGGTTTACGTCGATTGTTTTGCTACCGTGGTTTGAACTCAAGCCGACTGGCATATCTTAACTTTGTTTTTCCCAATAAACCCAATTACTTATCCACCCACCTTAACGTGCTCTAAGCTAATCCTTTTACCGCCTCTCACTTTACCGGATGTATATACGAAGTCAATACATACATGTCATATGTTCAAATTTATAGTTCATTGGCTTAAGTCATATGCAGTTCCTTAAAATTGTCCACATATTTCATTTAAACCCCTCAACCTATATTTGTTCCTATTGAACACTTTAACCTTAAGAAATAAATATCTATTTAACATAAAATGACAATCAGTTAAAATATTAAGACGCGTGTATTTCAAATGCTTGTACATAATAAACATACCAATAAAATGATGACACGTGGCATTGGATCCAACTTTTTAAAAAGATCTATTTAAATAATCCAAAATGTTTTTTTTAAGAAAATAAAATTTATTCTTTTGAATTACTCTCCCCACCCCGCGTCTTCTTCTTCAAAACCCATATCCCCTCTTTCATCGCCCTTCTATTGGCGCCGACGCCAGCACCGGCAGCCCAGTAAACCATCATCCGACCTCTTCCTTCTCCACCATTGATCAACTCACATCTTTTTTTTCCTCCATCGAATCTTACTCCTTTCATCAACGTCGGCAATACACCATTTACCCAAGCTAAATACCTATTCTTTTTCATTTTAATAGCATCAAAACCTTCTATTCATTGCCTTTATCTTCTTCCCATTTGTAATTATTTATCACAATTATAACAGATAATAACAAACTTTTATCCGAAAAAATTAATTCATATTTATTTCACCAAATTAAATGGAGTTTTGCTGAAATATTGAATATGCAGATCTACATAAAAAATAATAAAAAGGGAAAAAGAAGAAGAAGAAGAAGAAGAAGAAGAAGAAGAAGAAGAAGAAGAATTGGAGACTGTGAGAGAAATAGATAGGTGGAGGGGGTGGGGTGGGGTGTGTATGTATAAAAAAGATTATGGAAATGGTAGATGAGAATGGCAGAGGGAGCGGGGAAGAAGACTTCCTTTTCAAAAGAATTTTTTTTTCTTTTTTATTAATTTTTGTATATAAATCAGTAAAAAAAGAAAAAAAATTATTTCAATAGTTTGACACGCCCAAAAAGAGTGTAGTACACGTTTTTTGACATGTCATCATTTTGTGTTTAATAGAAATGACTTTTGAACTACTAAAGTGTTCAATAGGAACAAAGATAGGTTGAGGTGTTCAAATGAAATATGCAGACAACTTCAAGGGGTCGCATATAACTTAAGCCTAGTTCATTTTACTTAATCATAATTAATTAACATGTATTTTACTTCATTAAATCACGTAATAATGAAAATTGCATTATTTTGGTGTATACATCCGATGTGGATAAGTTTTTTTCCATCATTTCCTCCCTATTTAAATTTGTTTGTGTCATTTTAATTTGATACATAATTCAAAAGGAAAAAAAATTGATTATTAATTTTATTGGCATTAAACGAAAAAATATGTATGATTAATGTAATAAACTATCATTTAATTATGTGATTTTAAACATGTCATAATGAAAAGTTAAAATATAAAATTGTCAGAAATAGGGGATGACATTTTTTTAATAAATAAATCGAAAGAAAGCAAGACAAACAAATAAAAATTAAAAATAATATATATATATATTAATATTCAAAATACATCGATTTCCAAATGTCCAAAAAAGAGCACATTCATGACAAGTACCTAAGGGGATTGACTCAAGGAGTCATTACAAATGAGTTTATTGGTATTTAGGTATCATTGTTTACCTTTAATGAATGTCTTAAACTTAATCATTCAGATTTCAGTCATGGAGTCTATTTATTTTCAACGATCTAAATTGTAATCATTCAGATATGAATTATCAAGTGTGTTTGTTTTTCTTAATTCACAACCACTTAATGAGTCTCAATAGGTTTCAATGATTAAGATGTATAACAAAGTCTTTATATCATTAAAGTCACGCCCTGAACCTACACTCTAGGCAAACCAACACACAGAACCATTGCCGGTCCTAATTGAACTCTTTGTCTGGCTTATTACTATACTAAAGGCTATAGCATAGATATCGATGTTTTTAAAAGATGATTAAGAAAGAAAACTCAACAACTTTATAGTTAAGAAATTGAAATTTGTACAACATGCATATATTTGTAAAACAATGGTGAAATCTATAATTCAACTAACTCATCTATGAAGCCTCAAATATACAAATATACTGAAGATAGATTACTGAGACAAGACTCCAGGCTATCTGAATACTCTACTAACATCATCTAATAATTACTAATACTCTAGACAAATTGAAGCCCTCTGAAAGTAAGAAGGTCTCATCAAAGTTGAATGAAAAAATTTTAGTGATGCATTTGTTGCGGTTCTAAATACCTGAATCTGCATCATAAAATAATGCAACGTCGAATGACGTTAGTACATGAAATATACGATATGTAAAATAATTGAATGAAACTATTGGCTAATATATATATATATATACACTAGATAAAGATTGCCCGTGCGCGCATAAACCCAATATATATGACACGACAATAGTTGGGAATACTTGTGACGCAATGAAAAATCAGCACAAAGTAGTGATTGAAGAACATTTCATAGTAAAATACTACACATTCTATATACATTAAGTTTATAATTGCACTGTCTATGCATGTATTTACATATTTACAAAAGTTGATATTGCAAAAGGCAAAATAGTAAATGCAGAGTCAGGATAAGCTTTTTAGCTTCCAAAATTGTATTCAAAATTTACAATTCGTTCTGAGACACAATAAATATATATAAGTTACACATGAATTTAAGATATATAAGGATCTAATTCAATTACGATTTGAGGAAGATGAGATAGTTCAACAGTAGAAACTAAAATGAACTAATTAAGCCTTCACAATTTATGGAAAGCTTAAAAAGAGCAACAACCAAGCAGGGTGCAAGTGCTATAAGTAGTGCCACACCTCCTTCTCGTTCGATGATGATACTATTGCAGCCTGTAGGATTCAATAATTATGAATTGGATTAATTACAAATTAAGTAAAAACGAAAATCAAATTGTGCAATTGCAACGTTACTAAGAAAATAGGATAAAGCAATAGACAGAAACATGAATAAGTGAATTTTATATTCAGTTAGTATGTTGTAAAGTCCAGGGTCTAGTGGTTCAAGTTTATATTCATATCCGTCCATTTTTTATTGGCGTCATGCTGTATATATCCCCTTTCTCAATTATTTTTGAAAATAAAACATAAGAATAATTTGAGAATAAACAGGCAATATGCAGTTGATATTGCTAAAGTCACAAAAAATAATACCAACCAGTTGAAAATCCTTGAGTGTGTATTTGACTTCTAAATTGTAAACGATTAAGCACACAGTAGCATAAGCACTTAAAATAGCAATGAAAGCACACATCTTTGTCAATATTTTCACAATTTGAAACTAACTTACGAATATGTAGAGCCAATTTCAATTGCTATTTGTTCCATCCTATTTTGTGCTGCTATATTCCTCCAATTTGGTGTGAGAAAGTCACAATTAGCCAGTATATAATATTCTCACTGTCCAATTCAGCCACTTGTGTGTATAGATCAATAGCTTGAGAATAATTCTATCCTAAAATACATTAAAATCGAAAATAGACTTGCTATTTAGGAATATGCATAAACGCCAGCTAGTAAAATGAACTATAAAAACTTGTCAAGATTAACATTCCAAGTCTCTTATTAACAATTAACAAAGTGTAAAAGCTCTTATGAACTTACTAATGAGTTGTCTTACCATGTGTAAAATACAACCCTCCACAAAAAATAGTTCAAGAATACAACAACTATTTTGAGAGGACAAAGGATTGCCTTAAAATTGCAACAGTATTTGGAGAAATTGAAGATGAAAATTGGTGGAAGCATGTGAAAGAGATGAAAATTGATAGTTGGAGAAGCTTGAGACGATGAAATGTTGAGGAAATCTGTGTGTCGTCTCCTCTTGAATATGGAAGTGATGAAGATCAGTGGAAGTATATTTTGGAGAAAAGAACATATTGAGAGATTGGATGAGTGATTACGCTGCTATAAAGCCACTAACTATAAACAATTTCGTAAAAAGAAGACATCAAAAGAAAATAAAAAAAAAGATGGAGAATACAATAGAAACAAAAATAGATTTCACACAATAATTTTATACAAAGATTTGCAAAACGTAAAAGGTGGCATAATAACCTCTTCAACCTATAATAGGTGCAACTGATATTTCTTGGTTCTGGGTGGATACTTGTCTACAACTTGTAGCTGGCATGTCTAAGTCTATATGCCATGTGGGGCTAACTTGCAATTATCAAAATAAATGTACATGATATATATATATAGCGATGTCTCTACCCTTGTTTTGCAGGTTTGATTCTTGATTCTTTATGTTTTTGGATGATTGGTTTGCTTTATGTGGCTTTGGATGAATAAATAGATTAAGCTATTGTATCAGACCGAAACTCCGTGTCATTTTCATTTTTAGCTTTTAGGTTGAGCTTAATCTTGGTAATTATGATGGTAATTAGTTAATTAACTAATATACCCCTAAAAAGGGAAATCTTTTTATTGTTTCTCGAACGTTCTGTTTATATTGCCTGCAATTCTTGAGGATGAGGTTTGCTTGGAGTATGTTTGTTTGTTTGTTTTCCCTTTTTGAGTTTGTGTTGGGGGTGAGATATATATGTATCTATAGAGTCTATACATGTAGTTGAAGTATATTATGTACCAAAAATGGAAGTATGTTGGGTTGACAGTGTGAAAATGAGAAGGGGGATGGATGGTGTAATGGTATTTTGTGTATATGGTTTTTCACATACCATAAATTTTAAAGGTGTCTATGAATGAAGCGCCAATAGATGAAAATCTACTACAATGGATAATTTCTAAGATTACATTAACGTAGAAAGATATTTTTTCACAAGTAATTTTCCAATTTGAATCAATTGC